AGTTTGCACAATGATATGTCATTATATATACACACAGGTAACCCGATTTAGTGCTGCAACCTACAATCTAATAACTAATAACATCTGAATTTTTTATTTTGACAGTTATTGGGCCACGAAGAAGATGAAACCACCATAAACAATCTTAGGACTTAGCCGAATGTGACTCACCAAAAGTATTAAATGCAATTTAAAAATAAAGAATTTTTTTAAAAGTTAAACATATAATATATTTCGGTTCCATTAATAGATATAATAAGAAAATAAAATAAAATATTTTTTATATTAATTTATTTTAAACATTTGTTGAAGTGATAGAATATAATAAGTTTATCTTACAATTTTATTTAGCCTTTTCTTTATTTTAATTTTTTTTTTAAAGACCTGAGTTAAAAAAAGACAGATAAAATGATATAATACATCTAATTTATTATTTTAGTATATATCGAATATAAAATAAAATAAAAATTTATAAGTTCATTTGTTTGAGATGTTTTTTATGAAAAATACTTTTTTTAAAATAATCAATTTTTAGTTTTTTAATTGTTTGGTTAAAATTATATTAAAAAAAATAAAAATAATCTGATTTTAACACTTTTAAAGAAGCTGTTTTGAATAACTTAAAAAAACGAAAATATAACAATATCCAAACACACGTTTTTAGCTTTTTACATTGCAGAAGTCTTTCAAAAAAAAAGTAACTTTTACTTATATTTTTTTAAATTTTTTTAAAATATTTAAAATTAAATTTTTTAAAAACATGAAACTAACAAACATTATATTTTTTATTCTTATCCTTTTTTTATTTAATTTTATATCTTCTATCATATCCATTAAACAAGAACTTCTTTGTCAAAAAATTAAAAAAAATTAATCCCTAAATTAATAATAAGTCTAAACTTTTTTTATTTGAAATTTTTTTGTCATATCATATTAAGTATCACATTGGTAGGAACAATATAAATTTTTGATTATTTTTTAAACAGTTATCGCTTTCTGCAACACAATATTTAATTTTTTAAAAATATTACACCTGCAGGTACAATATTTAATTTTTTTTAAAATATTGCTCTGAAAGGACAGATACTTAAAAAAAAAAAAAACTACTCATTTTGTGATCTATATAAACAGGTTGGGTAAGGCTTGTTATCAAGGTGAAACTGGGTGCTTGGTCGTGGGCAAGAGATGTAGGAGATAGTTTTAAATAAATAATAAAAACTTAAGTATCATGTTTATTTAAAATAATAAACATTTTGTATTGTAAGATGTGATAAAAAAAAAAGTCTCAAACAATAAAAAAATTTAATATTAGTTTACGAATAAATTTAATTTTTTAAATTTTTTGGAAAAAAAGTCTTAATCAAGTCCACATGTGTATATAACTAAATTATGAAATTATTAAAATTTTAAATTGATTTTTTTTTATCAACAATCATGAATAATATTTTTTTTGAAGTCTAAATAGTCTACATTTTAATGAATTTAAAAACCTCAGTGTCATTGGGGTCCATATGTAGGTAATTGGCTGAAGCACCCCTTGACAAAGCAATTAGCATTATAGCAGAGTGTGATGGACCACAAAGCCCAAACACATTGTTTGGATGTAGAAACTTGCACATACCCTTAGCTTTATATTACATCCTCCAATACCATCATTTTGATGCTACCTTTAAAGGCAGACATGGCATGTTCCCAGCTGAGAATACAACTGATATGTCCATATCACATGTTTTGGATTTCTGAGGAGCCAATAATATTTTGCCATTTGACTGGGCCAAAAATATACCCTCACAAGTGGAGAAAGCCCTCATGATCTTTTAAAAAAGATATCTCACCTTTCTCGATTTAGGAAAAACAAAGTTAAGATTGTTTAGTTTCTATAAATTTTTCTGTTTTTCTTTTTATGTCTAATATAAAATATTATATTTTTTTAATACAGTCTCTATTTTTAATAATTTGTGCAAGAAAAAGGGAAAGAATAAAAAATTAATTTTATAATTTTGAATAAATAAAAATTGGAAATAATGTGATAATTTTATAATAAAAAAATAAAATTCTGAAACTAACTTCAGTTTTGTTTTTGCTTAAAACCAATAAGATAATCATGGTTTCTTTCAATTTACTTCATTTTTTTATATCGAAACTTTGACATGCATTTTTCTTTTCAAATTTAACATTTGGTTAATTTGGATAAATTTAGAAAATTATTTTAATTAAATACTTATTCAATAAATTTATATTTCATAAGAAATTACGATACAAATTTAATTACAGATTTGATTAAGCTAAAATTTGGCAATAATTTATTTTTATTATTTTATATTATTTCAAATAATTTATTTTTTAAAAAGTAAGATAATATTTTTAATTTTACTCTATTTTTAATATTTAATAAATATATTTATATTATAATTTTGATGATTTTATATTATAAAAATATATAATTTGATGAAAATGAGAAAAATTATGTGTATGTATGTGCACAATAAAAGTTTCTAATATGTGAAAAAGATAAAAGAGATTTAACAAGATATTAAAGATAAAGAAAAAGGTTAAGAACTTATGAGCTGAAATTTTACATGAACTATATTTTTAAAATGTTACAAATTAATGAAGTTAACTTTATCAAACAATTATATTTTGGTGAAATAAGGTTCTGGACTACTTTAACTTGCCAAACACTCTAAGAAGAGAATAAGAATAAGAGAAGTGAAGGGGCCAAATCCCAAAGTGCCGTTTGCCCAATAGAATACAATGGGAAACTTATAAACATGCCATGTGAATGCCAACTGATTGTTTGTTTAAGCAAATATATCCTTCATATAACAAAACAAAGCACAACTCTATGATAGGAATGATGGGCCCTAGTTCTATTAAATTGATGGCCATATATAAACAACTTCTACTTCAACACACTTGTCCTTTTCTTGATCAAAATTTGCTGAATACATCATTTGCATGCATGTTATTATCCACCGACTGTAATTTCAACTTCTTTTATGTAATGCACGTAATACAAGAGATGGGTCTATTTGTTTCCTTCACAAATCCTAAGCCAACCTCTAGTTTTTGGGTAAAAGGGTTTAATAACCGTCCCTTGAGGTAAACTAACAGAGAAGGGCTAGTCACATAGCAATGAAGATGCAACGCTCCATCTTTGCACTATAGGATGCCAAGTTTGCAATTTCTTCTATCATTTTCTGAAAGTTGAAAAGTCCACTCATTACACCCGAAATGTTACCTTTTTCTTTGTCCACTCAAGGGAGTTTAAGTACATGGAGAATGGGGCACTTAATATGGGTACATTTTTGTCATCACTTAAGCTAACTAATCAAGCTATTTAAAAACTTTGGTAATGATGGTGGCCCTCACTCATGGGTTCTAACATATCATGAAATTGTAACATAAGCTAACTGAATGTTGACAAAATCACTTGCAACTTGCAAGTGATTTGTGGGTAGTTGGGAGCCAACAAGAGGAAGTCAAGGGGGTTTCATGTTTAGAGGATAAGGAGTAATAATTTGCCATTGACATTTTTTTTCTTTTTTGAAGTGCCAAATATTAAATTATAGCTGCATTATTAAATAATATGAAGAGTTCACATAACCATAAGAACTTAACCACAAATAGAATAAAACCCTTGAAGTAATTTAAAAAGGATAAAAAATGATATAAGTAAACTCCTAGTACTCCAAGGTCATTACTCCTCGTGTGTGTTTGGTTTCAATTTATTTGAAAAAAAATACTTATTTTTACTAACTTCCTAAGAGAATTTTTGAAAATAAACAATTCGTTTCTGTAGCTTAATCTTTACTAGACGTGCATTAAGCAATGTTCCAGGAAACTTGTAACACATTCTGCTCAACAGAGAGCATAAATGCTCTTGAATCTATGCAGCCTTATTGGATTTTGGAAATGTGAAGAAAAAGTTGGATTACACTTCTAACAAAGCTTTGGTACAGTTAAGAAGAAACAAATGGAGAAAAAAATGATGTTAACCAAAAACAAACACATGATACAACCAGGTCTTAACTTCATGGACAATATTGGCACGTGCAAACCCGCATGACCCCTAATCAAAACGCTTATGATTAGTGAGTGGTTCATATGGCCCCTACAATGGACCGGAACTAGATAAACTCTCCTACCCAAATATGAGTATTTTAGAGGGATTCTGCCAGTTGTTGTTGACGTACTTTTCACATGGTTTCTGATCCAACCCATTTCACGTTAACCGACAACTGAAATCACCAAAACATCCTTGTCAACCAAGGAAGTTTGCTATTTACCTGTGGGGGCACCATGGAAACACAACAAAAAAACGTGTACATATATTTTCTATAGAGGCAATAGATCTGTATCACTAATGTTCCACGACAAGGCAATTGGAGTTGAAGATGTTTTATATCGATTAGAAATATCATCAAAATATCTCTCATAAAGTTTGGACAATTTTTCTTATGTAAGATAGTTTTTGAATGTGAATTAGGACCACTTTTTAGTTCCTATTCACTTTTAACGTTGGATTGCTCAGAAGTATTCAATATTTATAAACTTCACGCACCAAATGATCAATTTATGTTCAATTTTGGGTTCCAAGAGATGTGTTAAAGATATCCTATATAGATCATAAATATGATTAGATTACTCCTTTTAAGGCTTGAACAATCTTCCTCTCTTGAGCTAGATTTAAGAGTGAGTTAGGTCATTCTTTCTCTAATAATTGGCTTATGGGAAGTTGCTTGTATGCTTCTTCTTACACAAGCAAAACTATTCCTAATTACATGGCACAGGGACCCAAACATACTTTGAAAGTGACAGTTACTAGGGAAAATATATAACGACATAAGTTTAGAGGCTGTCAAAGGGCTTAGCCAATTTTAATATGAGGGCCATAGTATTGAAAGCAACTTATCAAACACAGATATGAAGAGATCTTACATTTCATTTTGTTACTTTTTTCTAAGTTGTTGAATGATACCAGCCATGTTTTGAAAGAGATGGGGAAAACAAGCAAGTGGCTTAAAAACTTGTTGACAGGGAAGAAAGACAAGGAAAAGGAGAAGGAAAAATGTGCTACCAACCTGTGTTTGTCAAATGGCTCAGAAAATCCAACCACTCCAATTTCAACAATCCCAAAGGAGAAAAGAAGATGGAGTTTCCGGCGATCATCAGCTTCCAAGGAAATGAATCTCGCAGAATCAAGTGTCACTACTTCAATATTGCATACTAACGCAGATGCTGAGAATGATCAAAGGAAACAAGCCGTGATGGCGATGGCCGTGGGCGTGGCTATTGCCTCAGCAGTTTCACCTGATGCCATGATCTGCTTGACTCCTTGTTCCAATGAAACAACAAGTATTGAAGAGGCTGCAGCCATTAAAATTCAATCGGTTTTTCGGTCCTATTTGGTATGTGACATTATGGGAAGCTAGTTTTCACTCTTCCATTCTTATTGGACTAACGTTGGTATGTGTGAAAATTTTCAATGTGTGTGTAACAGGCAAGAAAGGCATTGTGTGCTCTTAGAGGATTAGTGAAGTTGCAGGCACTAGTAAGAGGTCACTTGGTGAGAAAACAAGCTAGGGAGACTCTAAGATGCATGCAAGCTTTGGTCATAGCACAAGCCAGGGCTCGTGCTCAGAGGTCTAGAGTGGCATCAGAAGGAAAGGCCAACAAAAAACAATCACCCTACAGAATAACCACAGAGGACAACTTCTTCATGCATATGTATAGTGTGAGTTCAATTACTGCTGCCAACTACCTTTCAAATTGTATAGAATGATGGTTGAAATTTTTCTGATTTTCTGTCCGTATAGATTATAGTTAATCATCTGAAGAATGGTAAGCATTAGTCTTTTTAGTCTAATGTAGAAGCTAAGTAGGGAAAGAAAATGATAAACTTTCATTTTAAATTAATAGGGGGAGAATTTTATAAATATGAAGACACGCATTTAAATGAAAACAGACTTGGTACTATTCAAATAATGTGAGAGAGTTACTTCTTTTAGGTGAATATCCTGCAAAAGTAATAGGAAAAAAAGTGTTGAATTTGAAAACACAAAACAATTTAGTCTGGCCAAACAAACATGGAAAACAACAGTAAGTTCTGTTCATTGATATAGAATGTGATTTTTGTTTATCTAGGAAATGGAGAGGAGTTTGGAAGAGAACACCAAGATTGTGGAGATCGATGTTTGTGAATCCAAAGGTAACTCGAGAGACAGAAACAGCACTGCAAATCATGGTTATCGCGAATCATTTGAGCATAGATTTTCTACATATTATTCATCAAATGGTTCATACTCAAAGGATGAAAACTACAATGTATCACCTGCACCATCAACACTGACAGAACTAAGTCCAAGAGCATGCAGTGGGCATTTTGAGGAATGTTCCTTCAGTACAGCACAAAGCAGTCCCCATTACTATTCAGCTGTGTCAAGAGTAGAGGATTCAAAGCTTCCCTTTGCTTTCCCTAGACCAGCTTACACAGAATCTATGTCCTATGACTACCCTTTATTTCCAAATTACATGGCTAACACAGAATCATCAAGGGCCAAAGTCAGATCACAAAGTGCACCAAAGGCAAGGCCAGATTCATATGAGAGGCAACCAAGCCGGCGAAGAGCCTCAATGGAAGGAAGAAATGTCCCAAGACCAGTGAGGATGCAGAGGTCATCTTCACATGTGGGTGTCACTGCCCAAAACTACCAATATCCATGGTCAATTAAGCTTGACAGGTCCACAGTAAGTGAATGTGGCTCTACAAGTACAGTGCTCACAAACTCTAATTACTGCAGATATCTTGCTGCATATGAGGTGAGTAATGCTACATACCGTTTCTGTAACATGTTTTTGCCAATAAAATTTGTTTTTCGAAACACTTTAAAACGCGTATATGTGTGGATCCAACACACAAGTATAACTAATAGGGTTGAAGTACACATGGATTCATATCCATTGAAACATGAATCCAAACATGCTAATGATATTTTAAAACAAGTAACAACTCAAAGGAATCATGTTTCTTAGTTATGAAAAAAGGCTAAGTCAAGCCACGTAGTGGATGTTTGGAACAATTATCTTAAAAGAAATAATCGATTATTTTTCATAATTTGTGTAAAAAAAAGCTGACAAAAAAAAAGTTATACCAAACACACACTTAGTTTGGTAATATTATTTAAAGTTATCAGGTCTTACCATTGCTTGTTTTGGTTGCAGTCTCATGGACATAGGTACTGACAATGCACTTTCCACTACAACCAAGGGTACCCATTTTGCAGGATCCAGAGTTCCTTCTCTTTTCAGACTTCAAAACAAATAACAAACTCTGCCTTAACAAATTCAGAGTCTTAGCAAGGGGTTTAATTGAAGTCCAATTTTATAAGAGTTTCTTTGTACTTTTCTTTTTGTGAATTACTCTATCAGAATGCATTTAAACGGTTTATGAACTGTAAATTTTGCAAAGTGGAATATTTCCTAACAAAAGTATTCCCACCAATGCCATGCCTACTGTTTGTCTATGGAGGACTATCTTTTCCTGATCTCTCTCTGTTGTGTATAACATAATAGTAGATAAATGGCTAATTTAGCTTGGATCTCAATTTTTCAAAAGCTCGTCAATTAATACTACATAATTTTCTCTCTGATCTGTTCTGAACAAACGAGTTATGGAAATAAAGCTGAGTTGCGTCGAAAGGAATAATAACAAACACCTGTTTTTTTCTTCCCATAATAACACATTTTCTAGCGTAAATTTACGTGATAATATATTTTTAAAATTCTTTCCATCGGTCTCAATTATCAAATAAAAAACACGTAAATCACAAATAATGTAGATTATATCTCATATGTAATGAAAATTATTTCATCTAGTAATAAACTGCATTAAAATTTCCCCGTTGTCTCTCTTTTTCGACTGCTTCCAAATACATCGAATGATGGACCAGACATCTCTACGATGTTCTTTGCAATGCTGCTGATTTAAATCGCTTATATGAGGACAATTAGAGGAACTCTTTTATCACTATTATTTTAAATGAAATACCAGATAAACACATATCTATTCAAATTTCGACACAATGAGGGGATAATTTGACCCTTATCTCATGGTAAACAGTACCCTATGATTACTTTTTCCTTTTCATATTACAACTTCAGTACAGACACAGTGGTAGAACATAACAGATATTGTCAATCCTTTTTACTTTGCACCTTAGTTTAAATTCCACTATCAAAGAAAGCAATTCAGGTTGTTAAAATGACAAATCCCTTAGCATTACCTGAGGTCATGAACTTCAAGAAGCTCTCGTGCAACTCTTGCATTGTGGTCATTAGAGCACAGAAAACTCATTGACCAATTCTGGATATGAATACGAACTAATCATTCAAAAGTAAGAACTTAACAGCTTAATTAATTTCAAGGAATTAAAAGCTAGCACCTTCCAGGGGTATATCAAATGAACTACAGATACATTAAGTTTATCCAAACATCATCAGAAAATTCTTGCAATGTAAAAACAAAAGAGAATACAAAAATAAATTGTTGATCAAACTTGAATATTAACCGCCAAATTCAACTTCGATACTGGCCCTGGCATCATACAAGTGTCATATCTGGAAAGGCTATAAGTCTTCCAGTAGCATGAATAGACAGAGCAAACATGTTATAAAACAATATTGGGAAAAATGCAACTCCTGGAGAGCTTGGATAATTTTGAAATAAATAAATAAATAAAGGGATCTAACAAAAATAAAAAGCACATCCAGCCAGCATTTGTCATATACCAAGTAGACAACATCGGCACCAAACTGTGTCCATGTTTCTTGAACATCCAAACCTTACTGTGAGCCTGCCATTTTTACCTAGTGAAACAAATGTACACCAAACACTAGTAAAGTACACTAAGAATGGGATAGCTTTTCTTTAAATAACCAAGGAAGAACTTCATGAGCGCCAATGTCCAAAACCTCTGGATCCCTGAAAATAACAATATAATAGTTTTAAATTTTTAATCTCAAATTAAGTCTATACAACCAAAAGTTGAGAACAAGGAATGCCTGATGTCATCATCCAAATAATTCGGAAGAGAAATCATGTCAACAAAGCTAGCCTAGCAAGCTTTCTCATCAAGTACATGTTAGGATCCTTAGAATAGGCATTCAACAATATATTTTAGGCAAAAATATATTCATCAAATCTACACACCATAAAGTCATATCAAAGCAAAACCAAATTATTCTGTTGACATCAAGAATCACTAGTTGAAAGACTTAGCAAGGAGCCCATACTCTAGAAGCAGATGTTCCAAAGTTACTCAACACTTATGCAACAACAACCAACCTTTATCCCACTAAAATGAATCACACGACATCATTGAACTCGAACAAAAACCAAACTTTCAGAAATATTAAAACAAAGAAATTATGCGATACCCTTCTAAAGTTATAAAGAACATTAAAATAATAGGACATAATTTAGAGAAGGATTTGACTCTTCTAAAGTTTAAAGTGTACTTTAAACAACAACAAAAGCTTTAATGTGGAATGGGAAGTTATATAACATTTATACACTAATACTCCCTGAGTTTAATGAAATTTTATCCGATACCCTTCCTTTTTTGGACAATACACAAATCTCTCTTGATTTATGTAATATAACACCCTATACCCTTCTCAATCACACATACCATCTTTGATTTCTTATGCAGCTATATGAATATGAAGGGTTAAAGTAATGTCAAAAGGAGCATGTAATATAACACCATATATCTTTCTCAATTACACATACCATCTTTGATTTCTTATGCAGCTATATGAATATGAAGGTTAAAGTAATGTCAAAAGAAGGAGTACCGAATAACATTTTGTTAAACTACAGAGTGTGAATGCAATTTACACTTTAATCAAGTATCAATGGAGTAAATATTAATAACTTCAAGGTTTGTTACATATGTACATGTATTTTATCCCAACCTCAGCTGTTGATTTTCTGATCAAAGACAATAACTCCTCATTTTATTCTCTAAAGTGAACCTCTCATTTTAGAGGAATCAAATTCTTTAGTGAATAAGACCATGGAGAAAACAAGACTGTATCATGATTTCATAATTATCTATTAATACATTCATGGATAAAATTACAAGAGTATAAGTTTGATTTAAATTGGATTGGATTGATTAATTGGCTCCAAAAACCAATCTAACCCAATAAAAAAAAAATCAGTTTTTTTGACATTTTAGTTTTTAGTTTGGGTTTTGCAGGTGACATTAGATTTGATTAATTTATAAGCATCCCTAGTTAAAACACCAAAAATAATAAAATGTAAAGATATGCATAATTAATTCAAAAGAATCAAAATTTAAAAGTTAGAAGTTAAGAATGAGATGTAATGATTCAAGGCAAGATAGACTAAAAGATTTGACCACTCTCAAGAAAACAGACTCTAACTTAACATAAGGGTGGACAGGAATTAGTAAATAACAGAAAAAAGGATATAAAGCTGACTATAGAAACTGTCACGGTTATCAAATTGGGATTCAACATGTGAATCCGAAAGTCCATTATATATATATATATATATTATGTTCTTTAATTATTGATGATGAATCAGAGGTTTTATATGCCTTTGTTAGTTGTATGTTATTTTTTATATTGATCACAAATCTTATGATTCATGGTACAATTTGTTCACGATTTGGAAAATGGACCTTCGGATTCACATGTTGAATCCCTATATATATATATATATATGGGGAAGGATCTTCTCTTACACTTGATCTGAACCTTTCATTTAACTTATATCTAACGGTCAGTGAAGTAATAAATTATAACTTGTTAAATGTAAGTTAAATGAAAGGCTCAGATCGAGTATAAGAGTTTTTAGACTTATACTAGTATAAGAAAATTCTGCCCCTATATATATATATATAACAAATTGACATATACATTGCAAAATGATTAAGTATTCAATTAAAACAATCACAAGGACAATCAGATTGTTCGCCCCTCCCACCCCCCACCACAAAAAAAAAAAAAAACAAAAAATGTCAAGACACAAGAAGTTAATATAAGGATAAAGCAGAAGCACAAGCTGGCCACTACAATGGACCACTTAAGCAACAAGAGTGTAGTGGGAGATGGGGACCACAGGTCAAATACATGTCATGCGTTGGGGAGGTCAACTAAATCTTGTGCATGGGAGAAGCAAAGAAGAGAACACCAAAATAAAAATTCATTTGCCTTCAAAATGACATGGATCTGAATAGGGGGGAAGTTATTGGCAATTTCCCTCCCTTTTGTCCTTTTTTTGAAAAAAAATAAAAAGCTTTTTATTAGGAGTTTTTCAAACCGGATCACAGATGACCCAATCCAGCTGGGTGAGTGACCCACTTGGACAGAATTGCACGGTTCAGTGCAATTCAGCCCAACGATTCCTGCAATTCGCAATGCAATTCAAGCACCAAAACAGGACACCATGCAATTCGAATTGGGAGGAGCATGAATTGTATCTAGATTCATCCGATACTAACTACACTAGAAAACATTACTATAAGCATGTATACTCCTTTTTTTTGTTCAGAAAAAAGAACAATTTATCATCGCAATATTACCTGCCATAAACAAAACTTATATTCAGTAAAAAAGTGCATATGAGAGATAGTGGGTAAGAAACCTGCATAATGTTTGTCCCTTTTCATTTGAACTGGGTATAAACCACAGCTTTCGCAAAGAAGGAGATTCAAATTGAACAAAGAAACCATCACTCTGCGCATGTTTCCACTTTCTTGATCCTTGACCTTTCCAGACCTGCAGGTATAAAATGTCATTAATAGATTTTGCAGAGATTCAGACTTTGCAATTCTAATTGAATGAGTAGAAAGCAGGCAATCTGAACCACACAATTAATTAAGAAAAAAACCTAGTTCATAGATAGATCTGTTGAATATGAACATTGACCACATATGTCGATTTATACATGTTCGAAAGAACAACTGATGAAGGTATTATATTAACTTATCCTTGGCCAAGTAATGCACCTGTATAGGTCCCAAAAGGAAGAATTGATAGGATGGAGGATATCCCCAAGGCAAAATTTAAAAGAAACAACTAAGAAAGGACCTAGATATAAAGATAACAACAAAAATCAATTTTTATCCCACTAGGTAAGGTCGGCTGTGTAGATCACATGACACCATTATGTTCAATCAAAAACCAAATTCTCTAAAATACTATCTATTATTAGATCTATTTTAATAATTTCCTCTAAAAGTTTTCTAGATCTCTATCTGCCCCTTTTCACCACACTTAAAATCATGTCATTCACTACTTTAATCAATTTTCTACCATTTTTTCTACAGTAAGTGTTACTTTAATATTTTCTTGTATATATTCATTTCTTTAATGTTCTTTCTCATGTAACCACTCATCCATCTAAGCATTCTCATTTTTGTAAGTCCTGTTACTTTATTGTGTTGTTCTTTTAAAGTCAAGCATTAACTATTAGATAGGATAGTTGATTATATAGCAGTACAATAATACTTTCCTTTCAATTTTATAGGTACTTTACACTCACAACACAACCCTTGATATTTTCTTTTCTGCTTTAATCACCTAACTTGTATTTTATGAATAACATTTTCTTTAATTTCTCCATCATTTTGTAGATATAAGGGACCTAGATATAAATGGCCATAAAAAAGCTTGGTTTTCTAACAAAAACAATGGATCACTCAGTCCATGATTCCACGTAGTTGACTCCACCTAGCAATAACAAGTTTTTTTATTGTTGTATTAACCTGACCAGCCCAAAAAGGGGTAAAAAAAAAAAACTAATTATTTAGATTGAAAGAATCAAAGGGAAAGGAGAAGAGAGGATGGAAAGGCAAAAGACCTCTATTTTGATTTCTTTTACCTATTTTGCCTTTTATTAAATCCATGCAATCTTTATGAGTTACTACGTGTACATCATCACCACAATGAGCCAGTCAGGAACCTAGAACCCTTTTTCTGACCAAGACCAGGTCAGACTTTAGAAGTTTTTGACAATCTGTTTTTGGTTACAAAGATCAACTTTATCGAAGTACAAATTTAAGTGAGTTATTGCCACTTGGAATATTAAACCAGTGGCAGTCCAGTGGCACACACATCTGCCACTGATTTCAATGGACCCAGTTTTAACATTTCCCTTCATTCGCTCTTTAAACATCCCAACTGCTGGAGTACATAATGTATAAAAATAAATGGTATCAAATGCCACAATATTTTACTATAAGAATGATGCTACAGACCTCTTCCAATTTTCTTTGCATGTAAATTATACTATGAAATTCACACCTATACTATTGGGCCCACCTAAACTGATAATTGGGTCAGCTTAAACATTTATTGTACATTCAAATTTTACACACTTGCACACTAGGTGTGCAAATATCACTTCTCTTCCTTTCTAGTTACCTGTGTAATTTCCCCAATTTACTGTGATCTGCCTCAAAAATACCCCCAAACCTTCTAATACAATTTCCAATTTACTGAGAAATATCTTAAACATCTACATTTTCTGCGGTGGAAGTTTTGCCCCCTAATATTTAATGCCTTCAGTAATCAAAAGTTACCTGTGGATAAGCAATGGTGCTTTTGGGAGTCACCAAGCAGGCTGCTTTGGCAAAAGATTCGTCAGCATACTGCCTAAGAAATGAAAAGCAGCTGCTGTGTGTATGTGGTGATTCAAATGCCTGACAAAGGAGACCAGAGTCACAAGACAATAAAAAGATTAAAACTAAGAAAATAATACAGGGAAGTTTTTCAGGGGCTAATAGTCATAAGCCAACAACAGAGAAATGCTCAATAAACATGCATATTAAGCATAAAGTTGTAAAACCAAACATCCAAGAACATAAAGCAGGGAAACCACAATGAAAATTGTACATAGATTTAACAAGAAATATATACCTTATCAATATTCACAACTGGGGCATATTTATCAGTCTGTGTCTTTTCCTTATCAAGAAGAAAGTAAACTCTGGCATCCACAGAAGAAGTTTCATGCCATGATTTGACAGCAGTCTCCATAGTCTCCACAAGGAATGAGAACATCTCTTTCCAACATTCTTCAGATCCATACTTTCCAGTCTGCAAGAGGGAGATCATTTCAATCCTCATTTCAGAATTTTTTAAATTGATGCATGATTGTATAGAAAAGTGAATTCTTTAAATACCTTGAATAAATATCAATAACAAATTAACAAGGATTCCAAAGTTAAAGAAAGCAAGTAAAACAAAACATCTCAGAACCAAATACGGAAAAAGGGGTAAGATATTTTTCTGAGATTCTGGGTTCATTTTTCATGTTTTTTCCTCCATTTTTTGTGAATTGGACTCTCTGGTGTTGATTCAGTTGATTTTGGATGAATAAATGCATTAGTGAGTTTTGAATGTGTTGATACCCTACATCATATTGCCATATAATGACTGGCAGCACCAAGGATGTCAAAATTGCAAATCCCACCTTGGTTTAGACATGAGAGATAGAAATGTAATGATAAAACGTAAGATCAAAACTCAAGATGTAGTTAATCTTGTAGGAGGGTGAGAGGCAAGAGGAGTTAACTTGATCATACAACCATACATAAATGGCCATTAGTTTACTTAAATCTAATCTTGACCATCCATTTTGGTTGAAAGGTCAAGGTTAGCACACACATGCAGGCATGAGTGTATAACACAATTGACAAGACAAAAACACTATAAATGTTGATGAAAACCTATGGAAGTTCAAACATTTACCATCCTTCATTTTTATTTGGTACTCATGGGGAAGTATAATATCCAAGCCTGTCACAACTAATATTTCTTCCAATACCACCAATTGGCTGCATTGAACCTTTGATGAGAACTTTTTGCTGTTGCAACACTTCCAAACTAGAGGGAACATGTTTTAAATAAAAATGGGAGAATGATGGAGAAATAGGAATATTAGCAAAGTGTGTAGATTAGGAATTCAAAGGATAGATTTGTATTAATTGGATATATTGCTATCTGTTGATTAATCATTTTGGTTTTATTAAGGTATTTTTAATAATTCAGGTTATTTGGAGTTTTTATTGACTTGGAAAAGACATATACCATGGACCAAGAAAAATATTGAGGAAGGCCTTGGAAAGAAAAGGAGTTCCAATAACATATATTTGTGCTATACAAAACATGTACGATGACTACAAGTATGAAAACTCTTATAGAATATCTAAAGATTTTCCTATAGGGATAAGTTTATATTACAAAGATCCGTTTTGAATCCTTACATGTAAAACCTATTCTTAGATATGTTTACAAATAACATACAAAAAATTATCCTTGAGTACATGCTCTTTATAGATGACATAGTTCTTCTAATTGAGGAATCAAAAGAAAAGGTTAACTCTAGACTTGAGTTATGGAAGAATAATTTGGAATATAAGGATTTTCACTTGAATAGAAATAAAATAGAATATGTGCACTACAATTTTAGCAAAAAAACAAAATAAGGATCATATGTTAAAAATTAAAATCAGGGTCGTCAAATAACGGCCATGGCGCCACGGATGTCAGTGGTGATTATCACCCAAACTGCCACAACCATGGTGGAAGATGATGGATTTACGATGGCAGTACCATGGCAGAAATGGTAGCCATGGCAGAAAATGTCATCTTTTGAGGAAAAAAACAAAATGGGCCTCTGACCTGACCCGGTTGAAACTGATCCAAGAACCCAAAACCATACTTACCGATAGCAGCGCTATCATGCCACCATGGAGTGGCGATCAGCCCCAAAGTACTTGCTATCATGGACTGTTTCTTCCATTGCAGAAGTGGAGCCCTAATCGCAGATGAATTCTCAGTGGGGTGTGCATTTGCGTAGCATCATGGAGAAAGGGAGCAAAAGTCCAATTTTTCCCCTGCTACAGTGTCAATTTGGGTTTCTTTTAAGGCAAAATGGACTTTTTGTCCCACTAAAACTTCCCGAGCAAGCTGACTAATGTTCTGTCATGCTCTATTTTTCTTCTTCCTTCTTCTCTAAAGCAAACTTCTTCATCTCCTTTTTCACCATTTTTGCCGGAGAAGACATCCTTTCTAGCTGTTTTCCAGCAACTATAAGTGGAGGGCCCTGTTATTTGGCATCTATTTTCCATTTTGCTTCTCGATGCTCTGTTTTTCTGCTTCATACAGGCTCTATTTGTCACTCTCTCTGCATCTATTTTGCTTCTTCTGGTGTTCTGTTTTCTTCTTCAAACAAAGCACTGTTTCTCACTCAGTCTGCATCTTCTCTAAAGGCTGTGTTCGCTTTTCCATCATTATCCAGCCATGTTATTATCCTTTTTCACATATACCCCAGAAAACTGTAGTGTTTTTTTAATATACTTTTGTAGATATAAATTACACACACACATATATATAGTCCCTTATGTGTCTTGAACTTATTATGAATGCAGTTAATATCTAAATTTTGTAACCTTTTCTGATTTTTTTGATAGTCGCCAATTGAAAAAAAAAAAAATTCAATTTTTGTTATAGTTGTTGCAGCTGCTGAAGCAGCTACCGGATCAGCCAAGGTAGTCAAAATCGAGATCCTACTTAGGATCGGAAGGGAAAGGAAAACACGTAACTCGTAGGATCGTAGAGTGGATCGTAAGATCCTACCTAATGTATAAAACTATATTTAAACATACAAATGCATACAAAAAAGAAGATAAATAAGGAACCAATAGTCTTAAATTCATAAAAGACAATCACAACTCAAACATTAATGACAATAAATATATTCTCAAGTCAAATTACACATAAAACTCAATAGTACTAAAGTAAAAACAAACTAGTCAAAGTGTCCAACATTGGTATTTTTTACTCTAACAAATCATTCAAGTTTTGATCATAATAATCATCTTCTATTAGGTCTTCATTTTCTTCATCTCCAACTCCATCAAGATCATCATCAAAAGGAGGAATCTCTAAATCATCTAAATTTATAGGATCATCATCAACATCATTGGAATCATTTCCAACTTGACCCAAGTGTTCATTTGGATTCAAATCCAAGTCCAATAAGTCATCAACTTCTAAATCATCACCATTGGATGAACTTTCATTGGCCATAATCCATTCATCATCAGATGAAAGATCATCAAGATTAAACTCCATAGCTTTTCTGGATGTCTTTTTCTTGGCCAATTTTGAGTTAGCCATCACATAAACAACATCATTCATAGTTTGTTGTTTCAAACGATTTCGTCTCTTTGTGTGGACCTAAAAAATATATAAATACAATTGATTATTTGCTAGTTTTTAATAGGTAAAGAAAAAGAATGTAATTTATCATAGTTTTAAAATCTTACCATCTCAAAAGCACTCCAATTACGCTCACATCCAGAGGAGCTACATATCAAGCTCAATATACGAATAGCAAATCTTTGAAGCTCTGGATGTCCATCTCCATAAGATTCCCACCATTGTGCTGGAGTTTTGATATTAGTTTTAAGTGCATTTAGGGCTGCCTTGCCACCAAAAAATTTCTTTTTTGCCTTGAAATCTTCAAGTTGAGCATCAATTTTAGTCATTTCTTCATCATTTTCTACCATCCTTTCTATACAATCATATAATCCACGTTTAACTTCAAAATCTACTTTAAAACCAGGACTGTAGTGTAAAAAAGGGTTGAGGTAATAAGCTGCAGCATGCAATGGAGTTGATTGTCCCATCTTTCATCAATGACATTCCATAGAGGGAGATAACTAATATATGAAAAAAATTAAATTAATTTTCAAAAAAAATAACTAAAATTTTTAATTAAATTTAATAATTTATTTACCTTTTTTTACTCTCATTGAAGGCCTTTGCTATCTTCTCTTTAGCTCGGTCCATTTCCTCATAAAGGAATCCCATAGCTGGAATCTCATCCGAATCAACCAAACGAAGAACTTTGATTATAGGATATGCACCTCTTAAGCAAACAACAACACCTTTCCAAAAAGTTTTATCCATAATCACATCTTCAACAAACTTTCCGTCTGTTGATTTAGCAAACCGGCTAGTCTTCCATTGATCAGATGTGAACATTCTAACCAATGCTCCCTTATGCTCTTGAAGACATCCCAAAGTAAGATAAGACGTAGCAAAGCAAGTCATAGCTGGTCTCACCAAATCCCTTCCCTTTGTGAAGAATTGCAATAAAGAAATTAGGGAAGTCCTTGAATAAATATAAGTCATAATTTTTTTCCCCTTTGAGATTGTCTCTTAATGAATAGGTAACTTCTTCTTCAGATCTTCCAATATCAAATCTATACAGTGAGCAGCACATGATGTCCAATACAATTTCTTCCTTTTCTCCATCAACAATTCACCCGCAGCCTTATAATTTGCTGCATTGTCAGTTACAATTTGAACCACGTTTTCTTCACCAACCTCCTCTACAATGTCATCCATCATTTTAAACAATTTATCAGCTGTTTTAGATATATGAGATGCATCAATTGAAGTCAAAAATACTGTACCCATAGGGCTATTAACTAAAAAATTCAATATAGTTCTCCTTTTCTTGTCGGTCCAGCCATCCGTCATTATTGTGCATCCTGTTTTTTTCCATTCTTCTCTATGTGCTTCAATAGCTTGCGTGGTCAAATTAACATGATGTTTCAAATACTTGACTCTGATTTCATGATAGGAAGGTGGCTTGAATCCAAGCCCATATTTTGTCACCGATTCCAACATCTTATGAAATTCTTCACTCCTTGCCACATTGAATGGTATGGCATTGTTGTAAAAAAAAGAAGCAATATCTTGACACACTTCTTCTCTCAATTTTTTTTTGAATATGTTATTGAGAGTGACTTGATTACTTACTCCTCTCTTCTTGAAAATGTTCTCACTGCCCTCAACTTCACCCCCTTTTCTTTTTTCACCAGAATCACTCCCACCATCACCTTCTCCAAGAAGTTCGTTGAGTTTGCTATTTGATTTCTTCATTAATTTCTCTTGTAAGGAGGACACAACGAGCCACATTTCTCTCCTCACTTCATCACTAACCGAAGAGCAAGCACCCACATCTTTTTGTGTTCCAGCCAGATGATGTTTTAATCGGTAAACTCCACCAGTTATTAATTTTCGACAATAGTTACACTGAATTTTTCGTGCATCTCCATCCACAGATGATCCATGTTGCCATGCCACATCACTCCTGTTTCCAGGAGCATTTTTTCGCAAAGAACCGGCCACAACTGCACCAACAGAGCAGCTCACTGAGCCAATAGAAGTGTGACCAATGGTAGGACTTGCAACCACTCTCCTACTTTCTGGTTGCCCTCTCTGGATTGCAGGTATACTTTTTCCACGTGCAAACATCTTCAAACAGGACAGAGAATGGGGAAAACAGATTCGCTGTATTGGAGAAGAAGAGAAATGTGCGTCGTGAGTCTAAGGAAGAAGGGAAGTGTGCTGAAGAAGAAGAGAGTGTGGGTTGGGAACTGAGGAAGAAGACTTTGGGTCGCGGTCGGCGGTGCTGAGGAACTTTGGGTCGCGGTCGGCGGTGCTGACGAACTTTGGGTCGCAGTCGGCAGCAGTGTTGAGGAAGAAAACTTTGGGTCGTCGTTGCCTGTGTTGAGGAAGAAAACACTGCGTCGTGGAGAAAGGGGCAGCGAAAAGGGAAGAACGAAAAAAAAAAAACCCTAACATCTAAGATTAAATAAGTCGGGTAAAAAAAAAAGGCTGGGTCAAATCGGGTAATCGGGTTTTTTAAAGAATATGGGGCTCCACCAAACTCGTCCAGGATCGCACGCTTCCACGATTTCACGAGGAAGATCGTGCGATCCCAACGATCTTGAAAAATCGCGTCGCAGGGCAAGAACGGGATCGGAGGCGCTGCAAAAGCTCGTGAAATCGTCCGATCTTACGAGTAAGATCGCGATTTTGACTACGCTGGGATCAGCTACTGTTTCCTCAATTTATCGTAACAAAAAATCAAGCCACATGAATCAATCAAATTTGTTGAATAAATAGTATTGATTATAATAAAGGCTTAATTATGTTTTTTGTCCTTATAAATATTGGACACTTTGCAATAAATCTTTATAAATTTTTTTGTTAGGATTTAGTCTCTGCTTCCTACATGGCACCACATGGTGTGCCATGTTATTTAGTTTTTTAATTTTTTTAATTTTTTAAAATTAATATTTGCAAATAAGCCTTTAAAAATATTTTACATAATTGCCAATAAATCCCTTTCCCTTTCTCTTTCTCTTTCTCCTTCTCCGCTGTCTCACTCCCACCCCAACCCTAACCCCAACCCTAATCCCAACCCCAACCCCCACTCTTTTACCCCACCCCATCATCATCTCTTATCTCAAACCTGGTTGTCAAAAACAACTTTTACCGATTATTCTAGAAGAAGCCATTGATTATATATCTGCGCTTGAGATGCAACTTCAAGTCATGAACGATGTGTTTAACCAATTCTCTACTGCTTCCTCCACTTCCTCCACTTCCTTCACGCTTTTTGACCTCTAAGTATGTACTTGTAATGCATCCCATCCATTATAAAATTCCTTCCTTGCCCTAACGGTTGATAAATCAAAATTTAAGCAGGTGAGAGAAGCTTGCAAAAAGAACAGCTTTTATTTTTTCAGGGATAACAATGTTGTTAGGGAGATGAATTCACGGTATACAATGTAAATGGGTGTCGCTTGAATTAGTACAAAAAAATGGTTAGAGTAGTAAATTTTGATAGTTGGGTGATCATGGCAACAAGTAAATAAAGATTTGATCTAGTCATAGCAATCTTTGGATAGGTATTGTTTACGTGTGAGGAGGTTGATAGAGGACAAACATTCACTTAGTTGCAGGGACACATGTACTAGTTACTATTGAATGACAAATGGTTTGTATTGTATTTTAACCTTTTTCAAGTTCTGAAGTCTACCTGGTTGCTGATGTCTCAATTTATTGGTGTTTATCCAAGCTGAGCACAAAGCAATAAGAGGCTACAATTCTGTGTGGGGAAAGTAAGAGTGTCATGGAAATTGAATGGACTGAATGGCTAACTCCACTTCTCAAAGTTTTCCCCAAAGTGCCAAAAACACAATTGTGGGGAAGGGAAGGGGTAGGTGTCAAGAGGGGTTGGGCTTAGGGTTGTGGGTGGGAGTGAGATAGCAGAGAAGGAGAAGGGGAAAGGGAAAGAAATTTATTTGCAATTACATAAAATATGTGTAAGAGCTTATTTGCAAATATTAATTTTAAGAATTAAATATTAAAAAATTAAATAACATAGCATACCACATAGTGCCATGTAAGAATACTGAGGTAACTCTTTGTTAGCCAGTTCAGCACTTAATAAAAAGTTGATGATAGGAACTAAATCCCAATTTCTTAACATTTCAGAGACTAAATCTTTATAAAGACTTATCATAAAATACCTAATATTTATAATGACCAAAAACATAATTAAGCCTATAATAAATCATGAAAAGTAAAATTTAGAATAATATTATTTTATTGTGACTGCCATGCTTCCTCCATAAGCCACCATGGCATCTGCCATAATTTTGTGACAGTTTTTCTGCTGTCTACCATGACTTGACATATGCCATTGATAACATTGGTTAAAGTTAGAGATGACAAGATACCATGAATCTCTAAATTTAGGTACTTAAGATTAATTTTACAGAATGATGAAAAATTAATGAAAGTGTTACTCATAAAATACAAACTACAAATAAATTTTTATCGAGAATTATTTATAATTGTAAAATACTTATCAAGTTGAAAGTAAAGTTTTATTGTACTATTATACAACTAATTATCCTATAAAGTAGCAAATGTTGAGCTTTAAAGAAATATTACACACAAAAAATGAGAGCAACAGAAATAAAAATGTTAAGACGGACAAGTGGTTATACTAAAAAGGACAAGATAAAAAATTATTATATACTTAAGAATATTAGAGTAAAACTGATAAGGCAGTTTGAACGTGTACAAAAAGGACAATTGGAAGCACTTGTGAGAATAGTGTATGATATGACTTTTAATCCTGTAAAAAGGAGTAGAAAAATGCCAAAAGAACTTCAGAAGAAATTGTTAAAGGAGATTTTGTAATAAAATATACCAGAGAATTTGAATATTGACCGAACTCAATGACATCATGTGATCCATGTAGCAAATCTTGCCTAATGGGATAGTGTTTGATTGTTATTGTTATAATAATTTTGGATAGCTTGGTTATCAAGCTGGATTATCGATAGTTAACATAGAGTGTGATAGTGCCACAATTGTGGCATTTCGTGTAGCTATTTGGCTTTTCACATGTTGAGGCCGCTTTTGTGCCCAAAAGATATTTGTGGTTTTTACGACAGGAAGTGTAGACAGCAAATATTATCCACTCCCCCCCCCCCCAGCCCCACAATTTTGTGTTTCCATACCTGCTTTTGGAGGGTAATTTCACAACTCTCTTTTCTATTAGTAGGGTAATTGCTTTGATTTGTTTGAAACTCTTTCCCGCAAACAACCACAGCCTTCTCTATTACAATGCACTTTGACTCGCTGCTCAACCAAGCCATCCAACCCATAGCTCTGTTCTGCATGTCCTCTTCAGCACAACTCAGTTTTCACACATGCATTTTCATTCTCAGTCAGGTCTTTCCTTTGGTCTGCCTCAGATTTGTTGCAGTGTTGCTCATCGTCTCCTCTCTAGTTTTGAGTTTACTACTTTATTTTTAGCCCTAGAGGCTTAAACTTATTTGATTCCTTGACTTTAGTTATCAAATGATTTTGGGTATTTAGTTTTTTAAGACTATGATATTTAATACTAATTAATTATGAATATATCTTAAATGTGGAGGTGTTTTTTTAGCATTTATATATGTAGCATAAAATATTTATCTAATTTAGAATATTTAAAATAGCAGCTTTATGCTAAATATCCCACTATAATAGCAGTTTTGGGATCGGCCACTCTACATTGTTATTTGGGATTGATAACTATGTGATTAGCCTATATAGTTAGAGATATATGTACTGAATTAGATACTTTAGATTCAATTTAAAAATATATATTGTTCCTAAACTTCCGTTTCTCCCTCCTTGCACTTGTTTCTCCTTTTTTTTCTGTATTTCTCCCTCCTTTCTCTCTCTCTCTCTCTCTAAATACCTTCTTCTCTTCTCTTTTTCCCTTACCCTTTATACATCATATATTAATTAATACAGTAGAAAATCTAACAAAGCACATGCTGGTTGATCACTCATAGGAATGGAACAGATATACATGTATACTAACCATTTCAGGTTTCAATGTATCTAAATGTTTGGCCATGTCAACATTGGATCTCATATTCTCCACTTCTTGAGCTCGCTTGTTATCTCTCACTAGTTGATTTATCTTCTTTATCTTTTTTGAAACTTCTTGACTTTGTGAGTTATATTGCAATGCAATCAGAAAGGCAGCGAGAGCCTACAAATATTCACACAAACAGATGCATTAGGAGCAAAAACCCAAAAATGTAGCAGAATACTAGCCTTAGCTTCCAATTAATTGTTAAGCAAAAGGCTATTATATACATAACATACATCTTCATATCGTTTCATGGCCTCCAATATGCTTCCCTTCCTGAAATATCCCTGCAAGTGCATTCAAGCAACATCACTAAAGGGTTCAAACATTGAAATATTAACATAATTTGATAAACATTTACCTTTTCCCATTGGGGTTTTAATTTGATTGTCATCTCAGCATCATCAAGAGCTTTATTAAGCTTGTCTAGTTGCAGCAACGCTGCAGCACGGTTGCTGGCACACAAAGAATGAACAGAAACTACATCAGGACAAGATGTTTATGGATTGAGTGCATGTAGCATATCTCACACTTGAAAAACATTAATCCAAACAACTCCATTTGCCTAAGGAACAAGCAAGTAACTTCTAAGTGCCAACTAGATATGATCAGAAGCTTACCTGAACTGTTTGCAAATACAACTATCACATGAAAATTAAGCATAAAAAAGATACCATGCAATAGTTAACCATTCAAAGATACCACCACGTTCCAACTGATCTACCAAGATAAGCATGTACGAAATTATTTTCTCAGTAATCAATCAAGCATCTCGCATTATATATGAAAATAGCTTATGACTTTCATAAGCTCTTTTCAGATTATTTCAACTAGCTTCTTGGTTTAGCTAATCCAGGTAGGCTCTTAGCTTATTCCAATAAGTTTCATGATCAAATTCTTGTCATAAGCCCTCGCGTAAAAAGAGCTTCTTGAATAAGCACTTAATTGAGCTGCTTACCCAAAATACAGGGGCCACATTGCTTTTTACAATGTGTTGTACTTACAATTACAAGCTTAGTGACTTAGACGGTACACCGATCTAACTCCAACCCAAAAAACACATGGCTTTACCAAACTGTCACTAAAATTCCAATTCTGAATTAACACCTCAAAGTCTATAATAACTGAAACTAATATAAAATAATAGCGAGCACTCATCAAATAAATAAAAAGTTCCCTTCTGTGATTTAGTTTTCAGAACAAGAGCACAAGATAAACCAAAGAGAAAACCAGAATAATGGATGAGGCCCAGGAATTGAATAAAGTGGAAAACGACACCCAAAGGAAAAAAGATGAGAAATTTGGAAGAAAAAGAGTACCTATAGAGAGTGGGATTAGAAGGGTCTTGCTTGATGGCTTGAGTGTAGAGTGCAGCAGCTTTGAGATACTTTCCTGACTTGAAAAACTCGTTGCCCTGATCTTTCAGAGACATCTCCGAACCTGAACCTTCTTTTGTTTCAGCCATCGATGACTTTCTAAATCTTAAAACCTGCGATTCTGGTTCCTAACGTTTGTAGGGTTTTATCCCAAGATGTTTCCTCCTTCTTTCCAAAACCTCTTGCTCCCACTTCAGGATGGAGGCTTTTGCTTTTGAATATAAATAAAATTCTGAAATATTGTGTTTGTAACACTGTATGTGTTATAACGAAACTGTTTTTCCATTCCACTCTGTTGCAATGCAATCTTTGGGGGTTCACAAAAATCCAACTGAAAAATAAAAAGATGAACTAACTGAAAATTAAAATAAGAAATTTAAATTTTTTAGATTTGTTTAAAAAAGATATATATATAATATATTAATAGTCAAATTTTAACATTTTTTTAATAATTTTTTATAAAATATCAAATTAACTAATTCAACCATTTTATCATTCTATTTTATTCTTATAATTCTATATATCAAATTTTATATAATTCTAATACTTAAGAAAATATTATTTAAAATTTAATATTTATTTATATTTTAAAATATAATATTCATTAAAATATATTAATGTGATGAAGTATTTGTTAATTTTAGTTATGTATAAAAATTTTAAATTAATTTACTTAAAAAATTCTTTAAATCAACAACAATAAATTATATATATATATACACACACGCATGTATTAATGCACATACTTTAAATTAAATTTTTATTTATATATGTATATATTTATAAAATTATATCTCATATTATTTTTAAGAATATATTTTATTATTTTAATACATTTATAAATTTTAATCAAAATATATACTTAATTTCTATACGTGATATTATTTTATAATTTAATTTATACATTTAAAAATATTACATTGTCATTTATGTAGGATATAAAATAGTTCTTCTATTCTTTTAGCTATTTAAAATAATTTAATATGAAAAACATAACAATAACTTTTATAAATTTATTTGACGGTGGAATTATTATGTATTGGGTGAATTTAATTTTTTTCTCTAAATTTTATTTTATTTTAATGAGAGAGAAGTAGTGTATTTTTTATTATTGCATATACATTTAGTTCCAATGTAGAAAATAAGTATTTATTTATTATTAATTTAAATTGAATATATTTATAAAATATTTTAATTCATATTATTGGTAAATAAAAGTAACCAATTTCAAAATATTATAGATCAGTTTGATCTGAACCAATTTTATCGTAAAAAAACCTTATCAAACACTATAAAATATTTTGTTTATCTGCATGTCTTACGAAATATAAATGTTGAGCTAAAGAGCCATTTTTTTATTCAACAAAACTTATATTAGAGATTACAACTCTCAATCTTCCTTCATTTCTAGTTCCTTTGCCCTTTAGTTTTTCTTTCTTCCTAACAAAATTTTCCTCTCTCCCTTTTATTCGTTACGACCATCACTCATCCATCTTTCATCAATCTTTCTAAAACATTGGTGTTGGTGGGATGTTGTGTATTGCTTGAGAGATATAAGTTTTCTCTCCAAGGCCAAAGTGCTCGAGAATCTTCCTTTAAAACTCAAGTGAAGAATCATTGAAGTCCTTATTGAGAACTGAACGATGTGATACATGAATTGATCATATTATTTTACCTTAAGATGAGCAGGGGGTTTGTAACATGCAACATACGCAGACCTTAGCTTTCTCACAATGTAAACAGTGATTCCAAACATAAGGATAGTGCAACAAAGGACAAAACTGAACAAGTTGTCCAATAAGTTGCATTGGAATTTGAGCCAAAGTTGATGAATCTCTTCTGGAGTCATGTTGAAGGTTTGAAAGATGATGAGAGTAGTGAGAGGAATTAGGCACAGAGTAAAAAGGTGAGAGTTTTGGAATTTTGATTGCACATGATTTGCAGATGACTAGCACAAAAAGCTTCAACTTTTAGACACACCTTTCTGACGTTGTAGTGTTTATTATGCTGGGTTTTTATTATATGTATATGTTTCTACTTTTTTCCGTCATTACTTACTTATGATGCAATTTACAGGACAAACAATGTAAAATTAACGTAAATTTTTTGTTTTATGGAAATTTTAAGCAATGTTCTTATTAATCAGGCTAATTTACAAATTGTTAAGTATAAAACTACAAAACAAATAATGAAGGATAGTAAAGTTCTTGTTTTATGGATTTTTTCTTAACCACTGTTACAAAACAAATAATGAAGGATAGTAAACTTTTTGTTTTATGGGATTTCAACAATGTTCTTATTAATCACGAGAATGTTAAGTATAAAACAAATAATGAAAAATTGTAAACTTCTTGTTTTATGGAAATTTGAACAATGTTCTTATTAATCATAAGAATATTAAGTATAGAACGTCAACCACTGGTACAAAGCAAACAATGAAGGATTAATAGTGAACTTCTTGTTTCATGGAGATTTGAACAATGTTCTTATTAACCATGCTAGTTTGCATGATGTTAAGTATGAACGTTGCGGTTTCCAAAGCACGTTTGAGTAGCTTAAACTTGTGTTTTATGCATTGGTTCTTTCTAATTGGTCTTATACTTTTTTTAGTAAAGTTGTCGGAGAATAATGATATAAAAGTTTGTATAATTTTTTTCATAGTTTAAAAAATTAAGAAAAAATATGTTATAATAAAAAAGGATAAAAGAATTTGTCGTAAAAACTTATTGTAAAAATATGATAATTTATTTTGTTTTGTTTATTTTTGTTTTTATAATTTTTTAATGATTAATTTTTTTTATAAAAGATAATTATTATTTAAGTGATATATTAAAATATTTAAATAATATTTTTTAATAAAAATTAAAATACCAATCATTTTTAATTTTTGTGCAATTTTTTAAATGAAAAAAGATAATAAATAAATAAAACAAATATGAGTAAAAAGCCATAATTTTAACACACTTAATTTTCATAAGCACACACTTCATTACTAGTTAGTATTAAACTTTGAGTTAGTTGACCAATTTCTATGTGAACTAACTAATCTAGCTCATTTTTAATGACTATAATTATTAATTTTTTTTCTCATTATGTTAAATGAATTTTTTGTATATTATGTATTTATTTTTTAGTTTAATGTTAATTAAATTTTTTATAATTTATTTTTAATTTTATTTAATATAATAAAATATTTATTATTCATAATTTGAATATATTTACTTTCTAAAATTTATAAAATTAATAAATTTAAAAAGATTTATATTATAAATTTTTAATTAATTATTATTATTATTTAATTTTATAATATGAGTGCAATGTCACTAGTTAACACTATAAATCAGTGAGTATTTTCCTAAGAAATGGCTTATATTAGTCCACTTTTAATAGATATAATTATTAACTTACTATTGTTAGTGAAAATAGAAATCATCTGGAACTTGAAATGATTTATACATAAAATATTAAAAGTTTTAAATGTTGACAACACCATTCTAAAAATTATTACCATTTTTTCTCATAATTCCATTCTAGAGTCCTAAATTACAAATCTTTTTTACTTTCTTTACAGTTTACAACAAGTCACCTTAATACACAATAAATAATATAATAATAAACAAATCTCAAATATCTCTTATTTATTTTCCTTAATTTTGACCAACATTCTTTGTGCTAATCACCGCAATATATATCAACCTAAACTATGTTGAACATGTTCTTACTTCTTAATCTTGTGGAAGTGCTGCTATGAACCTAAATCATGAATCAACTTAACAAACTACATATTTTAAGACAATTATAATGTCGAGATATATAACTTCTACATATTTATGAGTAGATTAACATATTAGGTAAAATGATTATGTTATTTTGAGAAATAAGAAAATTAAATAATAGTTTTAGGATCAAAATAAATGATTTAGATTAAATAATTAAAATTGAACATAAGACTTTTTTGTTTTCATCTACCATGTGTACCTTTTGTTTTTATTATAGTACTATATTTATTATTTCTTTTGAATTAATGATAAAATTTAGAACTCGTATAAACATCAAAGTGAGTATTAAGATTTTTTTTTTTTTCTTGTACCTCTTAAATTTAGAAAATTTTGGTACCTCTATTTCATATGAATGCATTGATAATTATTTCTAGCTCATACTAGTAATAATTATTCCTCCAGATTTATTATCACATAAAGTATAATTTTTTTTTCAAAATCTAACAAATATTTTCAATGCATTTTGTTACTTTTGTATTGTTCCCATTTTCATCCTTATGACATATGACCATCAGTATTGTTAACTCTTGTATTTACATATATATATATATATATATATATATATATATATATAAAGTATAAAAGTAGATAAGTTTTGGAGGAAAATTTTTCTTCACTCTTTAACATAATAATCTTTATATAATAATTAATAATTACTATTTAAGGCCATCTTGAATTGTTTAATTCAAATCAATTAAATTCATTCATTTCTAATTAACAGTTTTAATATATCTTTACTTTTAAGGTCGTTTTGAATGATTTAATTCAAATCAATTAAATCTATTTATTTTTAATTAGCAGTTTATATATATATATATATATATATATATATATTTGCAATGAGTTTTGGAGAGAAATTTGCCTTCACTTTTTTATATATTCAAAAGGTGCATCATTTGCGGCATATTTGAATCTTAATATTAATGTTTATTTTAAATTTTATTATTAAAAATTAATAAATGATAAAATTACATAAAACTCTTGAACTTTAAATTAAGTTTATTATAAAAATAAAAACAAAAAATCAGTAAAAAAAATATTTTCAAGTGAAAAAGAAATTATATTTTATTAAGTATATATATATATATATATATATATATATATATATAAGGGAAAGTACATGTTGTTTGTTCAAAATAAAATTTTGAACTAAAATTCTTACAAAATAGTGCCTACTATTTCAATGCTTTCTGAAAATACGACCTAGGAAGGTGGATTGGAAGATAGTAGTTCGAATCATTAATTCGTGGTTCTCTCATGAGTTTCAAAATAAAATTCAAGTCGATGAACAAGTGAAGCTTTTATATTTCTTTAGTTGAATTGCATAAAATTTTCTTCTTATTTAATTTATTTAATTGCATCATGTTCTCTTATTGTTTCAGAGTTCAATGATTCATTGTACTGTTAGGAAGGATATTATGTCACATTATGAAAAATTATTCCATGAAGGCAATGTGTATATCATGGAAAATTTTATGGTAACTACTCTTGAAAAGAAGATGTGAACCACTAAACATAAATGAAAA